AAATTTGGTACAAAAATATGCATAAATCAGGTAGTAATCAGGTAGTAATCAGTTTAAAATCGGGTATCTGATTTGTGCCTGATTTTTTATCTTTCGACCTGTGGAATTAAGCTTAATTCGGGCAAAAATTCAAAATAACACCCTACGTGTTTTTTGCGAAAATACGGTATTTATCCTAATCACTCTCCTAACCCTAACTATTAACTAACTAACCCTACTAACCCTAACTGCTAACTAACTAACCCTACCTAACTCTAACTGCTAACTAACTAACCCTACCTAACCCTAACTATTAACCAACTTTAATTTGACATATGATGAAACTAATAACGATTTAACCATGGCTTACTAATAACTATTAAAATCATAACGCAACGTATAATCGTAACCCAACACACGTTGAAACTAATAATGATTCAACCACGGCTTACCAATAGCGACATTGACAACGGTGTAACGAAATACCAAAAACTATAGCTCTATTAGCTATCTAAAAAAAAAAATTTAGTTAGTCCTACCACAAACAAGAAAAATCACTAGTAAAAAAATCTTGTAATGGCAATACTAGCAACAGAAAACCAAAAACGCGATTTCAGTAACGAAAACGTTAAAAAAAACAACCTCACCAAAAACAATACTGAAGTAACGAATACACACCAATGAAGACTAACAAGGCCAAACACCGAAACTTTAGCAATGATACCTAAGAAGATGCCGCGGATACCAATACCACAAATCGACAAATCAGACCAACAAGGATCAACAAGCGAAATACCAGAACCGACGGTTCCATAAACAATGACTAGCTACCTAAAAAAAAAAATCAGTTAATCACGCCATAGACAAAAGAAACCACTAGTAACAACTCTTGTAACGGCAATACTACAGCCAAAAACAGTAAACGCGACTTAATTTTACTAACAATGACTCTAGTAACGCGACTCCATTCTGACTCCAGTAACAACGGCTCCAATAATGGCGACTCTGAAAGGCTCCAACGACGATCTAAGAACGACACGACTTCAACACCGCGATTCTAGTAACAAAGACTCAACATAACACCAATGACGATCCAAGGACTATTTAAGTAACAATGCTCCAATAACGACGACACTAGCAATGTGACTCATTATCTATAAGCCTGGAAAAAAAAAAATAGGGTTAGTAAAACGTCTACACGAACTAAAACAAAAAAAGAAAATAAACAATGGTCGGCATGGAAATCATTGCTTATATATTGCACATGACCCGTGACAAAAAGGTCATGTAATGGGGGCAACATAAACATTTATTCTATAATTTATTACTATAATAAAAATAAATTTTATAACTAACATTTTATATACAATTTTTATAGTCTTTAAGGAAACGAGGAATTATGCAAGTATCCGAAGAACATGGTGGAGCATCATGCGTAAGTTCTAAATTATATAATAATTTAACAATATTTTTACTTTTATGTAAATTAACTTTATTAATTAATTTAATT